GTTATTTCTTTTTCTTCCCATTCTTTGTGAGACTCTTCTTTTTTGCTTCTGCTTCTTAAATTGATCTATCAGTCTTGATTTCCTGACTTTGTGGTGTGAACTTCAATGGTAGGACACCGCTGTTTTTACTTTCTGGATCTGCCTCTGATGATGTCAGATGTTGTTCCTGTCTGACCTTAGGCAGTCTATACTGTCTGTGGCTGTCTTCAGCTGTTAATCTAGTCACTCTTCACTCAGTAGGCCCGCTTAGCTCAGGGCGGGGCAGAGTCCCTCCTGGGGGCGGAGCTATTGGGTCTTCTCTCGCTTCTGCTGCTCAGGGAGTGGTCTGCCTGAGCAAGATGGCTGCTGCTGTATGGGGGATGAGTCAGCACTGGGAACCCGGCCAGCTACTCTCTCCGTTCTCCCACCAAAGCCTCCTTCCTCAGTCTCTCCTCAGGCGTCTCTAGCCCTCTCTGCCCCCACCTTTGCCGGACACCAGGGTAAGTGGCTGCAAATAAAAATTTATACGTTGGCCCTTTAAACGGCCCTTTGCATTTCCAGCTGCCTGTCTCTGGCAGACAGCAACCCTGCTGCTTTTCGCAACTGGTTGTTATCTGTGTTCTTTTTGGGCTCTGGTGCTGTAGACTGGAGATCCCTGCTTATGGTTTAGACCCTGCTCTTCTCAGGGGGATCCAACTGGCCGTTTCAATATCCTTCTGGTGCTGCCGCCCATGGGTGCCCACCCGCCTTCTTAAGTCTATACTGTACTCGTTACCAGTTAGGTTGTGCTAAAGCTGATTCTTTTGTTTGTCCGAGGTAATAAGGCTCCTCTCTCGCTATTGTTCAGTTGTTTGTTCCACGTGATTTCTCCACAATTTAGTTGTAATTCCAGATTGGTTCTGTGAGGTCAGTGTGACTTCCACTCACTCCTCCGCCATCTTGATTCTTTCTAAAATCTAAATTTTATTGACGAAATTCTATTAAATTTGGTTACGACCTTGTGGGAGTTCGTTAAATATTTCTATCAAGTCTAATTTTTCTAGGGTCAATTTTGGCAACTTTTAATCTTATAAGATGTGATTCTTCAGTAAGTTTTTCTCTAATACATTTATCATGTGCAGTATTAACTGTTTTGTTTTACTTCTACAATGGGATGAAAATGAATTTATTTGTTGTGATTTGTAAAAATTTGTTTAAATTCACTTCTTTGTTAAATATGAGAACATTGTAATCCCTCATCAGGTCTCCAGGACCATCCTTGGGATCAAAACATCTCACCTATTTCTCTTCTCCCTGTTGTCCTCACACCACTCAGTCCTGCTTAATCAGATGTCAGTTCAAGCAGCACCTGCTCGGGGAAGCCTCTCCTGATCTGTAAGACTAGATCAAGTTTCCCTTTTTTTATGGTTAGATAGTACATTTAATTTTTTTTTATCACACTTGTTAGAGTTTATACATATATGTTTTCATGAGTATTATCTCCTTCATTAAACTTTCCTCACTGATAGTAAGGACTTTGTTTTCCTTACTACTGGATCCTTGACGCATAAAAAACACTCAAATTTATCAAAAGAATGATGAAAAGGAAAATGGCGTCTTTTATCCTCAGTGCACATATAATGCCTGACCTATCCTAGGCACACATTAAAAGCTGTTTGCATTTCCTTCTTATTATTTTTGGTTTGTTATAGTCCAACAGGTAATGAATTTTTTCTCATTACTCATTTTTAAAATTGACTTTTTAATACTATATATTTCATAGCCACGCTACTCTAATAGTCTCCTCTTCCCTACTCTACAGGGAAGGGAAACTGTACAACTCCAAAAGGGTACACTGTATTCTACAGAGCAGGGAGTTGTTTAATGTAGTATCATTGCATCCTCACCACACTCTGAATGGAAAAGCATCCAGCTAACTCCTGGTTAAAACTGATTATAACAGCATTTCTAAATCGTAAGACATACATCAAAATCCCATGCGATACTTCTAATAAAAATGTTTTGGCTCCGACCTAAAATTATTAAGTCATAAAGTATTCAAACTCCCCATGTGACTACAGAGCCAGGATTGGAAAACACTGGGTAGGAAGGAACATAGGGTGAGTGGGGGAGAAGTGGTTAGACATTAATCTGGATAGGGAGTGTGTTACAGAGTATAAAAGGCCCTGTATTCAATAATAAGGAACTGGAGTTTAACTCAACATAGAGTGAGGAGGGTTTTCAAAGGGTATGAAATGATCAGATTTCTGGGAAAGGTTAGGTTGACACCAGTGTGACATCTAGATAGGTGGGCAGGGTGTAGAGCCTGCGTTAGGGGAGGGAACTCCAACGAGCCTAGGAATAGATGGTGAGGAGTTGAACTGGGGTGGTTGGCATGCAAGCAGGGAGGAAGGGAATGAGAAAGGACTGACAAGACATTGAACTCAATAAATGGAATGTGTAGGGTGATTAAAGGAGAAGCTGAAGACTACCCCCAAGATTTCCAGGCTAAGCAACTGGATGCAATTTGATAAAGCCATTAACCAATCAGAGGATAAAAATGTAGAAACATAATGGAACAAGGAGACAAAACAGTTCTGTTTCCAGCTATGATGAAACTGAATTTCCTTGTGTAGGCCATTTAGGTGCAGCTGGAATAGCAGGAAATTGGAAACTCAGATCTAGAGTTCAGAAGAGAGGCTGATGTAGGGGGCCGCTTTGAGTGATATTGGGAACTGTAGTCCCACGCAAGCTGGGGCCTAGGAAAGGAAACTTAAGTCTTGGCTGGAGTGCTGGTAATGCTGGAGGCAGGCAAGACCAGATAATGACTTCCAGGGCCCCCAGGGGAAATCAGATTTAGAAGTAAATTACATTCCTTGAAGCATGCTTTGTTTCTCCCTCAAACTGTTAATCTTATACCAGATAACCAGCTCAAGGCTGGGAAAGAAATTTACAAAAATCCCAGACCCTGCCCCAAATCCCACCTGGTACCATGTTTGCTCAACCAAGACCCAAAGCAGTTCAGTGTGTTCCTGCCACTGTCATCTTTAAATATCTATTCTCTGTAAGCTTAAATTGCTGATGTAATTAGATTACCTATACATTCCTGCTGCCTGTCCGCTCCCCCCTACCCCCTCTCAATAAAAGCCATTGAGCACAGGGGCTGGGGGCATTCTCTCTCTAGAGGGAATCACTTTCCCCTTTCCTTGACAGACAATTGATGTCTGGAACAACTTGTTACTTCATCTGTGGCAAACAGGAGGACTCTGTGGGATGGAGTCCCTCACAGATTGAGGCTGAAGCTTTATATTTGTGAGTCAACAGAGTTTTTGTTGAGAGTTGAGACCCTTGGAATGGATGAAATTGAACCAGGGAATTGTCTATGTAGAATCAAAAGTGCTTAGCACAGCCCTGACCACTGTGGCTAAGTTGGCTAAGCATTGTCTGCCAAGGCAAAATGTCACTGGTTCAATTCCTGATCATGGCACATGCCTGGGTTGTAGGTTCGTCCCCACTAGGGGTGTATGAGAGGCAACCAGTCAATGTTTCTCTCTTTTTCTCTCCCTTCCCCTCTTTCCAAAAATAAATCAATAAAATCTTTTAAAAAAATGCTTAGCACAGAATCAAATCAGGCTTTATCATTAAACTTAATTAACCACATAATATTAATTTTAATAAGGTTCAGATAGAGCACCATTAAAAATAAACAAGTTAATGTGCAGAGTAAATGAAATATATATAAATCCTGCAATCTGCAGGATAACTTTAAATATGACTATGTATCTCTGTAGAACACATCAGTCTATTAGCTTGGAAAGACTAGTTTGTAAGCTTATTAAATAGCAGATTAATTAAGTTAGCTCCTCCTCTGTGGTATCAGTACTTCCTAAATGAAGCAACTGAATATTTTATGATATTATTAGTCAACCCATAAAAATACATGTGCTTAATAATGTAACTGAATATCTAGAGATTGTCATTTAATCTGTGTATCTATGTACATATGTGCTTGTATACCAGGCAATTTTGTATAATTTACTTAACTTTAATAATCTAAATTCATATTTGGGTATGGAATTATTTCAACCAAAAACCAAAAAGTAAGAAAAGATTCCCAGGCCCTACTATTTCCATAGTGTAATGGATTCATTTAGAGTGAGTCTCTGAAATTCTTATTTTTAAGGAGGTACCCAGGTAATTATGATGCAGGGGGTTCAAGAAGCCAGTCAGTGAAATACAAATACCATATGATCTCACTTATATATGTAGAATCTAATGAACAGAATAAACTGATGCACAAAATAGAAACAGAGGCATGGATACATGGAAGAGACTGACTGATGTCAGAGAGGAGAGGAGGAGACTGGATGAAAGAAGGCAAAGGGATTACCCAAAAAACATATATGCATGACCCCTGGACACAGACAACAGTGTGGTGATGGCCTAAGGGAAGGGGTGGGGTTGAGGGCTGGATGTAGGTGGGCAAAGGAGGAAAATGGAGACATCTGTAATACTGTAAACAATAAAAACAAAGTTAAAAAAAGGAATTATAAACCTTCCTAGATCCATTTTAACCAAGTCTTTAAAAAACATGCTGAGAAATGTTCAGATTAAAGGAAAATGTTTTAAATAAGAGTTATTTACAGCTTACATAGAAAATACATCTTTATTAAAAGCATGTTGACTTTCAAGTATGTTTTGAAATGACACATAATATGTATTTTAATTTCATCACATTCCACTCTACATTCTTTATACCATTTACCAAAAATAACTTTTATAAAGCTTACTATTTTGTCTAACACTATACACACTATCAATCTACACTTTTTGTGGGCATTTCTTTGAAAAATTAGAATAGCTTATAAGGATATCATATAAAAGTAATTGGTATATTACACACCAAACTGAAGTACAGATTCTGTACAATGTAACAGCATACATATATATAGGTGTATATATATATATTACAAAAGACTGCCTTGTTAAAAATGACAGTTTAAGAAACCTTTCATGGAAAAAAGTCTCTATCACAAAATGTGGTGGCCTAAGTATCAGTTGCTTTCCTCTCACGAATTTCTTTCTGGAGGCATCAGCTGCCCATTCAGCTTCATTAGCAGTTTTACCACGAGGCCAGCCTACAAAGTCAAACATGTTGACAATAAGTATAAAACATGTTAGATGAGTAAACGACTACATGACAGTGGGCAGTTTTCTAGCTATTTGAAAAGGAACCTTATCAGGAGGCAGCTTGTCAAGACGAGTATTTACTCAGGCTTTTGAAGGGATTTCAGAAACTAGTAGCTCAGACAGGATACTGGTCAAGAACAGGGAAGGACGGACCACCTAACATCTTGATAGAGAGATAGGCAATACTGACCAGACTTTGTTTGCTTAGGAAAGGCCTTCTTTTTTCCCTTGGTCTTAAATATTTTAATTTCATGTCATATTAGCAGTTTTCCTTGAAGATGGGTTATTTTATAAAAAATAATTTTACTAATGTAGTAGTTCATTATTAGAAATCCAGAATAATTGATAGGTGCTTACCTGTTTTGTGTGTACTATGAAACTCATTTTATTTTCCATGCTATGGATCTGAAAACATGTATCAGCATCTCCCAATTGCCACATAAAACAGCCATACTTAAGACTGATGAGTAAAGCCTACAATGTAATTAAAAATTGTTGTATTTAAATATATATTAAAAACACCAATCTTCTCTTACTATCTATACTTATATAGTCAGATCTATTGTTAGAATAAAACACAAAGAAAGTACCACACTAATTTCATACAGCTGGCAGTGCAGTGCTACATACATGGTATACTCTCAGGATAGTGTCCTAAGCAATATCCTTTTCATCTGAGAAAAAATTTTAAAGATGCCCATTCTGTGGTACTGATGTGTATGTATTACACACGCATGAATATTATTAAGCCATGAGAAATAAGGAAATCCTGTCACTTGCAACCACATGGATGGACCTTGAGGGCATTACATTAATTGAAATACGTCAGACAGAGAAAGACAAATGCTGTATGTTTTGGCTTCTAAAAAAGCCAAACTCATAGAAACAGTCAGTAAAATGGTGGTTATCAAGGGCTGGTGAGTGGGTAAAATCCAAGGGGTGTTGGTAACAGAATACAAACTTTCAGTTAAAAGATGAGAAAGTTCTGGGGACTTAATGTACAGCATGGTGACTATAGTAAATGATACTGTACTTATATACTTGAAAGTTGCTAACTGACCTTAAATATTCTCACCACAAAAAGAAATGGTAATTATATGATGTGATGCAGGTGTTAGCTAATGCTATGGTCGTAATCATTTTGCAGTATGTTAGTATATCAAATCAACATGTTGTATGCCTTAAACTTACACAATATTATCTGTCAATTATATCTCACTTAAAACTGAGGAATAAAAAAGATGCCCATTATATCAGTGACTTTAAAGGAGATGAAATGTGCAAGTACTTACTTTTTGTATGTTAAATTGCCTGTTTTGAAGATTACTTATTTGAAATTTGTTTTAATCGAGGCAAGAAATAGCTTACTTTTTTTACATTTTTAAATTTTTTTAATTTATAAATGTTTATTCTATTATACTTGTCTCTATTTTTACCCGTTTACCCACCTCCACCCATCCCACCCCACCCTCTGCTTCCACAGTCAATTCCCAATCTGTTGTCCATGTCTGTGAGTCATTCATACATGTTTTTTGTCTAGTCCCTTCCCCTTCTTTCCACCATTGTCCTCTTTCTCCATCCCCTCTGGTCACTTTCAGTCTGCTCCATGTTTCCATGCCTGTGGTTTATTTTGTTTGGTAGTTTATTTTGTTGAAGAGTCCACTGATAGGTGAGGTCATATGACATTTGCCTTTCATCAACTGGCTTATTTCATTTAGCTTAATATTCTCCAGCTCCATCCATGTTGTTGCAAAAGGTAGGGAGTTCCATCTCTCTCTTTCATTCTTTTCATTCTTTCTTTCTTTCTTTCTTAAATGCTTATTGATTTTATTTATTTTTTAAATGTCAAAGTTAATTATAAAATATTAAAAAAATTTAGAACCATTATAAAGTCTCAGGAATTAAACCAACGTGACACCAGAACAGAAATAATCAACTAGTTCAATTAAGTATAATGCACATTCTAGAGACAAACGTATATATTGGTCTAACAATATAATATATGATTAAGTTGATACTTCAAATCAATGGTGAAAATAAGGCTTATTCAACAAATAAGGTGCATGGGCCACTATTACTTGAAATAAAACAAACACAGAGCCCCATTTCACCCATTATACAAGAAATATTCAGGTGAGTTAAAAATCAGTATGTAAAATCTAAGGAGTTTCAGGAGAAAATACAAAATAATATTTTTCTTACCCTGAAGTAACATATTAAAACCCAGAAGTGATGAAGTAAAATATGGACAATATGACTATATTAAACATTTAAGACTACACAGTAATATATATTAAAAAAAAGTTAAAGGACAAGTAATAGAATAGGAAACTATTTGCCACACATCTAAAAAAGGGTTAATAGTTTTTTTCTTTTTTAGGGAAAAAATTCTACAAGCATTTAATCAAAAAATGGATTAAAAATACCAAAGGTTTTTTTTTTTTTTTAAAAAAAAAAAGTCATTTATAGCTTTTTGAAAATAATAGACATAGGCAAGAAATATACAGAAACAGGTTTAGTTTCAACAAATAATAAAGGAACAACTAAAATAACACATCATTGTCACAATCAGGTTAATAACTATTAAAAATATTGGTAGTATCAAGTATTGGTGACTGTGAAAGGAACTGGGTATTCACAGTCTCTTCATCTTCTTAAAGCAGTCCCTTTAGCATATTTTGCAGTGCTGGTTTGGTGGAGGTGTATTCTTTTAGCCTTCTCTTGTCTGGGAAACTCCTGATTTCACCTTCCATTTTAATTGAGAGCCTTGCTGGGTAGAGCAGTCTTGGTTGCAGGCCTTTGCTTTTCATGACTTGGAATATTTCTTGCCATTCCCTCAGGCTTGTAGTGTTTCTGTTGAGAAGTCAGCTGCTAGCCGTACCAGGGCTCCCTTATACGTTACTACCTCTTTCTCCCTTGTGGCCTTTAGGATTCTCTGTCTTTGATATTTTCCATTTTCATGATGACGTATCTTGGAGTGGGCCTCATTGGGTTCCTCTTGAGTGGGACCCTCTGTGCTTCCTGGACTTGTGTGACTTTTTCTCTCCTCCAATTAGGGAAGTTTTCCATCATTACTTTTTCAAACAGGTTCTCTATCCCTTCCTCATCCTCTTCTCCTTTTGGAGTCCCTATTATACAGATATTATTATGTTTCAGGTTGTCCTGCATTTCCTAAATGCCTCTTCATTCTTTTTGAGTCCTTTTTCATTTTCTTGCTCTTTCTGGGAGCTTTTTTCTACCTTGTCCTCCAGCTCGCTGACTCGGCCCTCAGCTTCATCTAGCCTGCCTTTGATTCCTTCTACTGTGTTCTTCAATTCAGAAATTGTATTCTTCATTTCCTCTTGTCTCTTATTGACAGTTCCTATGTCCTTTTTCATGCTCATATAGTTTGCAGTAAGTTCCTCGTAGTTTCTCTATAGTTTCTTGCAATTCTCTCTGAGCTCACTGAACTCATTGAGCTTCCTTAGACCCGTTGTTTTGAACTCAGTATCTGATAGTTTACTTGCCTCTATTTCCTTTAGTTCTGCTTTGTGGGGATTCCTCCTTTCCCTTCAACTGGGGGTTATTTCTTTGTCTTCCCATTCTTTGTGAGACTCTTCTTTTTTGCTTCTGCTTCTTAAATTGATCTATCAGTCTTGATTTCCTGACTTTGTGGTGTGAACTTCAATGGTAGGACACCGCTGTTTTTACTTTCTGGATCTGCCTCTGATGATGTCAGATGTTGTTCCTGTCTGACCTTAGGCAGTCTGTTTGAGACTTCCGGGAATCTACTGTTTGTGGCTTTCTCCTTCAGCTGTTAATCCATTCACTCTGCACTCAGCAGGCCACCTTAGACAGCTCAGGGCGGGGCAGAGTCCCTTCTGGGGGTGGGGTTATTGGGTCCTCTTGTGCTGCTGCCTTCTGGGGGAGGAGTCTGCACTGGGATCCCACTGGCTACTCTCTCCGTTCTCCCCCCAAAACCTCCATCCCCAGTCTCTCCTCAAATTTCTCCAGACTCCTCTGTGCCTCCTTTAGCCAGGGATCTACCGTCTGTGGGTGCCACTCTGCACTCAGAAGGCGGCTTAGACCAGAAATAGCTTATTAATATAACCTCAAAACAGTTCAATATAAGAAAAAAAAATACAACTGTGGTTACCAGCTCAATTATATGGAAGTCAAATTATCAACAAAATTACTGAGACCATATGTTAAAAATAAAGGTTTTGTTGTTAAAACACAATGTACAGGGAAAAAGGAATTCTTGAACCACAATAATAAAAACAGCTAAATGGTTGAAGAGCCAAAGTCCATATTATGGTTTTGACAGATCTATCTGCTCTGGAAGGAAAAAGTAGCTCTCATTAGGAGGTAAAACCTAAAAAGGGCAAGGTGCTTAGTGAGGGAAATGAAACAGCACAAGAGAAATGGCAGATATAGTTTAGAGCAGAAAAGGGAAAACTGTATAAGTCAGAAGGGCCACAGAGCTGACCAGGACAGACAGGAGAAATCATGATGTTGACAAAGAATGACATTATATGCATATTTAATTAAGCACTTTTATTTCAGAGAAGGATTATCGTCAAAAGAAACTGACATCAGCAAAGGGCATCTATTGCCAGGGTATGGCAGTAGTCCTATTAAGGTTGAAGATATATCAAGTACAGTTCGATTAATGAAAACTGCAATGCTTTCACTATAGTAAAACAATGAGCCACAACAGTGTCTTTATCTATTTAGTGTCTATGTTTTATGTAAGTAGAACAGACAAGTCTCTGATGAGCATATGAAATTGGCTGGGTTATATTATCTGATTGGGCAACTTTTGTTATTTCAAAAAGAAACAAAATATGTAAGGTAGAAATAATTTTTTCCTGTAACGAAAACATTTTTTTGGTATGTTGTTTTATTTTTTTCCATCACCATTAATCCCCCTTATACCCTCTTCCACTTCCACCCACCTCCCTCCTCCCATAACTTCCACACTGTTGAAAAGGTAGAAATAACTGACATTAAAAAAAAGCCTACAGAGTATTCCATGGCTGGCTGTTCCTGAGAAATAATCTTTGAAACTACTGTATCTAATGTAGAGTTTTCAATGCAAATGAAAGTATTTTTAAAGATAAACATGTTTATTTAAGTAAGCTTGTGAAATTCAATCTTAGTAGATGTTGGTGAACCTAAGACAACTGAGGACAAGCTGATTGCTCCCACCTGTGATAATTATAAAATATAATCACATAGACCTTTTATAAGTGCTATAAATTTAACAGTGGTTCAGAGCACCAAGATAACGATTAGGTGGACAAAAAACATCATTATGCTTGGGTTCAATCATCTTTTTATATTTCCAAGCACAGCATTTCTATTTACATTTCTAGAAACTGAACATCTTATCCTGGAAAAGCAGACTGCTAACTAATAATAGTTATCATTCTCTTCCTGACACTCTCACTCAACCCCAAGGCCAGAATATTATTTATAATATGAAATGGTGTAAGATTTTGCTGAACCATCATTTGAATACCAAAAGTCAAACATAAAATACAGTATGGAGAAAAGGCTCAGCATTATACCCACAGCAACACCATCCAGTTCAATGAAGAAGGATTTGTAGAAATTGGTATAAAATGCTCTGAAAAATTTCTTAAGTGGTGAGGGGAATTTCTCCTTCATTTTCTTTAACAACATAAATAGAAAAGTGGTTATAAGCTAATAAGAAGCTATTTTGTGTGAATAAAATAGTTTAAATAAGCAAACGGCCCAAAAATAAGCTGACATCAAAGATTTAAAAATTTATGCTACGTGAAATAGGTCAAAGAAAGACAACTATCACATGATTTCACTCATATGTAGAATCTAAAAAACAAAACAAAACAGGAACAAACTCATAGATACAGAGAACAAATGGATGGTCACCAGATAGGAAGCTCACTGGAATGGTGGTTGAAGAGGTAAAAGGGAAGAGGTAAAATGACCAGATATAAACAGTCACAGGGATGTAAAGTACAGCATAGAGAATATAGTCAATAATATTGTAATAACTGTAGATCATGTCAGATGGGTATGAGAATTACTGGGTTCATCACTTCATAAAGTATATAAATGGCTAATCACTTTTCACACCTGAAACTAATATAATACTGTATGTCAACTCTAACTGAAAAATAAATTTTAATAGACCTGGCCACATCTATTCTAGAGAAATTTAAACCAACAATATTAGATTTTTTTTAGCTTCCTGTACAAACTAGAAAGCTGATTATCCTGTGAAATGTGTTAAATATGCTAAAAATAACTGATAACCCCATATTTTATACTGTAGTGGCTTTCACTGGAAAAAGGAGCACAAAACAGTAGCAAACTGAGGTATTCCAGTGGATATTCATATTCCTTCCCGCACTTCATCCTGTCCCTTAAAAGGTTTTTGAAACTAATTCTAATTTTCAAAGGAAGCTTCTGTGTCAGAAGTATATTTTTCTTCTTCAAATATTTTTCACTTAAATCTAATTGGTTTTTAAAATATGTAATATAATCATAGTCAATACCACAGACTGAAAAGTTTCCTTCCTACTCTTGTTCCCTGTTATCTGTTTCTCTTCTCTACAGGCCTCAAGAGACTTTTTTATGCTTAACAAATAACATGTATTTATGTAAATATAGTGTTCATTTCCCCCATTAAAAAAATTGAGCTATAATTGACATATATAAATTTCAGGGGTACAACATAATGATTTGATATTTGTGTATACATATACTGCAAAATGATCAATCACCACAGTAAGTCTAATTTAACATCTGTCATACAGTTGAAAAAATTTTTTTCTTGTGTTGACGACTTTTAAAGATCTACTCTCTTAGCAACTTTCACATATGCAGTGCAGTATTATAATCATAGTCACCGTGCTGTACATCACACCCCCATGACTTACTTATTTTACAATGGTAAATTTGTAACTTTTGACCCATTCTGTCCATCCCCAAACCGCCTCCCATGCTGGCAACCATCAATCTGTTTTCTGTATCTATGAGCCTGTTTTTTTCCCCTAATATTGCACGTATAACTGAGATCATGTTATTTATCTTTCTTAGAAGTCTAATTTATATAGCTTAACATTATGCCCTCAATGCACACCCATGTTGCTACAATTAGCAAGATTTCATTTTTTAATGGCTGAATAATATTCTATTGTGTGTGTATCACATCTTCTTTATCATTCATTCATCACTGGACACTTAAGTTGTTTCCATATCTTGGCTATTGTAAGTAATGTTACATTGAACATGATGGTGTATACATCTTTGAGTTAGTGTTTTGGTTTTGTTTGGCTAAATACCCACTTCCCCCATTTTTACACAAAGGGCGGCATATTACATATGGTTCAGTGCTTTGCTTTTTCATTAAATATATCTTGGAGATTATTCTACACAAAAATATTTGTCAGTCTTTTGTATTGGCACAAGGTATTTCAATGTAGAAATGTACTACAACTAACATATTAACCCCTATTGATAATCATTTAGTTTCACGCACACCCATTATTTGCTATTAAAAACGAAACTGCCATAAACAGACTTAAATATATGCCATTTCTAGATTCTTCAGGTAGACTGGTACTGTTATTTTACATATACAATGTGACTGGTCAAAACAGCTGAAAATCTACCTTAGTTTCCATGTTGAGGAGATGAAGTCCTTTTATGTTCACTCCTACATACACAGGGATGACTTTATGATTGCTGGGGCTTGCTTTTGTAAATATCTGTCCTGTGAAAAAAGCTGCTCCATATGTAGGAATTTCCCAACAATTCTGTAAAAACATGCGCTGAAGGTGATGCATTTCTTTACTGACACCCTCACTTGTACTAAGATTCTAAAACCAAATAAAGTAAAATAAAGAGATATGAAAGGAGAACGCACCTTTGATAATCCAAATAGGTCAAATGAACAGTTTCTGAAATCAAGGCTGCCCCCAAAGAATAAAATTGTGTGACATTATTCCAGGAGCAATTTTTCTTTTGAGATGTTATATTTAAAAAAAAAAGAAATAAATATCAAGGCCTAAAAATATTTTTTGTCTATTCCAACAGGTTTTTTTAAATGCCTCATGGACAGAGATATTATTTAATGTGTTTTAAAAATCACTAATCCTTACCACAGTATCCAGCATAAAGAAGGTATTTACTAAAAGAGTCTACATTATTAAAAATAAAAATATCCTCCTTTGAGTTTTAGACATGTGAACCAGAAGATCCATTTTTAATTTCAGGACTATATATTTCATATACCATTTTTAAAGCATATTAATACTAACAAAAATTCAACTATATTATAAAATGTCTTTTTAGTTCTATTAAATAGCTTACCTTGTATTCATGAAGTATTCGGTTTGTCCAGTGAGGTGCCTTATTTTTCAATTTGGTAATAGGTACAATGGATTTTAGATTTTCTTCACTGTAAGCAAATATGCCAACATCTCTTAAATAAATTATCTTTAGTAGCTAAAGTAATATAATCATTTAGACATAAAATGTTTTAAGTAACTTTATTTTTGAGCTAAAAAATACTATGCTATGAAATATCAGAGAGCTCTAACAAATTTTTAAACAAAAGCCACAACCTTAATTAACATTGCTCAATTTAGAGAAATGTTTCTTCTTTCAATAACCTCAAAATATTTTTGAAAACTGAAAACCACAGTAAACAAACTTTAGATGTTTTCTCTCAGCAGGAAACATGAACCTAGTTCTTGTGGTGCAATTCTTAAATGCATCTGCCTTCTGTCATTTTTCTACTACTCATTTAAGTTTTAGTGAACTTGTTTAAACATATAGTAAAGAAAGATAAATTTAGAAAGTATAAGGGTTATCAAACTATGGTGAAATATAAGAAAATTAACTTCAGAGAAGAGTATAACTTAAAGAATGCTTTACCAATATTTTTAATTTTTTTTCCTTCTTGTCATTCCACAGCTTGTATTCTAGTTGTCCCTTGGAATCCGAGAGGGATTGGTTCCAGGACTCCTGAGGATGCTCAGTCCCTTAGTCAGCCCTCTGTATTCATGGGTTCAATCTGTGGTTGGTTGAATCTGCAAATGTGGAACCCATGGATACAGAGGACTGACTGTATTTCATTCCAAACTAATGTATAAATATTTCTAAACTTTCTTGGTTAAACTGAATCTCAAGCACAGCACAAGACCACAAATTATATGAAATACTTACTTTAGGAAACCTTGCTTGTGTTTCTTACTCTCATAATTTCCGTAAACTATTTGCAACAACAGACTTGCCAATGTTATTAGTTTGGCATCAGGAGCTGTGTAAAATCCCTTCAATAAATTGTATCTGGCTTCATCAAAGAGAATAAGAATAGCTAGTGGGTCTTCAATCTTAAAAAAAATATATATAATTTGGTTATTAAGCTACAATTTCCTGTTACAAATATAGAACTTGTCATTATCTAATATGGAAAAGCAAATATTACATATTTATATATAAATTAAGCTGTTACTGCTTAAGGGCAGGGGTTTGAAAAACTTTTTCTATTAAGAGCCAGATGGGAATAGTTTAAACTTTGTGAGCCATAGAATTTCTTGAAATTACTCAACTCTGCTATTGTTAGTGCGAAAACACAATATATCAACAAATGGGTGTGGTGGTATTCTAATAACACTTTATACATGAATACTGAAATTTTAATTTCATAAAATTTTCACATGACATGACCAACATTAATGGATTACAGAATATACAAAAATAAGCAGCAGCTCAGATATGACAATAGACCATAATTTGCTAACCTCTTATTTACAATCCAGTAAAATTTTCATCAGTTTATGGATATGGATAACTTCTTGCACAAGTTTATATTCTTTATATTCCTCAAACATTTTACTATTATCTATGCTTCATAAAATAGTAGTGAACCTCAAAGAAGGTGAAAGGGAGTGTGTTAATTCCCAGAAGGGTATGTGTAGTTTTAAAAAGTTTATTTTAAGACAAACATGTTTTATTTGACTAAAAATACTTTGCACTTTCAAGTAACACTAAAGGAGAATATATGTCTTTAGATTTTAAAAACTTTAAAGTTTCATTTTATCTGATAGGATTAACAAAGACTTAGAAATGCTAGCCTAGAGAATATAGAGTAGTTTTACTCAGAAATAATCACCAATTACAGAGTTTCTGAATGAACATTTAAAATATTTCCAAATATAACTCACAATGATCCAAATTCCTTAAGGTAAAGATTATTTTTGTCATTACTAATTAAAATAATATCTTACAATATTCCATAATGTAAAAAACAGAATATATGGAAAAAAATGGAGGAAATTGTTCTAGACTACAAGAAACTAAAGAAATAAATGCGAAGCATGAACCTTGGACCAGATCCTACATATGGGAGTTATAAAAGACTTTGAAGCAACTGCGAGAAACCTGAATATGGATCTAAAATTAGATGTTACTATGGAAATATTAATTTTGTTAGGTTGTAAATGGTATTGTAGTATATAGGTATGTCCTTAGGAGATGCATGTTGAAATATGCAGGGATGAACTGTCATAATGCCTGCAACTCACTTTTAAATGGTTCACAGAGAAAAGAGAATAGATGAAGGAAATGTAGCAAAACAGTAACCATCAGTGATTTAATAAATGGTATATGGTATAAATTTTATTACTTTTTCAACTTTTCTATAAGTTTTTAATGTCTCAAAATAAAATGTTGGAAAAAAGATTGAAACATTTTTCTAATAAAAATTGACTTAGTGAATTTGAAGTGTTTCAGTTGATTTATAATTCCTAATAGTATTTTCAGCAAGTGTTAGTCAACAATTGTTCTTTTTAAATGAAATCAGGCTATTTTCATTCTAAAGGAATGATACTAACCAGTGTCATCCTTCTATTTTTCAGATGGTACAAATAGGAATTTCTTAATTACATAATGAGTAAAAGAATAAAACTACTTTACCAGATGATCATGGTATTCTGATCTATCTTAAGTACTTATTAAGCCTTTTTTCCCCCCCACTTGAGCCCACTTTATCTACAACACAATTATGCAATTTATCATCTGGGTATTATCATTATTGCTCCTGTTCTCTACCAGCCAAATAAATAAAATCTCTTTTACTTTATTTACTTTTAGAGAGAGAAGGGAGGAGAAAGGAAGGGACAGAAACATCAATGTGACAGAGAAGCATTGATCAGTTGCCTCTTGCACCTCCCCAACTGGGCACTTGGCCTGCAACCCAGGCATGTGCTCTAACCGGAAACAGAACTGGCAACCTTTCTGTTCTCAGGCTGGCACTCAATCCCCTGAGCCACACTAGTCAGGGCATCTACTAGCCAACTTTAAAAATATTACTTAGGTGGAGAAAGAACATAGACTGAGTATACCTAAATTATTTATAAATTTAATGAATCTAATATATTTTTAAATACTGTGTTAATAAACGTAACAAAAAATTTTCCATTTTAATCGTTTTTAAGCATACAATTCACTGGCATTTATTACATTCACAATGTTGAGCAACCATCGCCGGCTACTATTTTCACAACTTTTTTATCACCCAAACAGTTTCTGTAACCATTAAGCAGTAACTCCTTATTATCCTCCTGCCACTCACCTGTACCAAACACTAATCAACTGTTTCTCAATTTGCCCGTTCTAGATATGTAATATAAGTAGGATTATACGATATTTTTTGTGTCTGGCTTATTTCATTAAGCATAGTGTTTTCAAGGTTCATCAGTGTTACGGTATGTCTAGGTAAGAACTTCATTCCATTTTATGGCTAATATTTCATTTTGTGTGTGTGTGTGTTGTTTATCCATTTATCTGTTGATCAATACTTTGTTTCCACTTTTTTGGCTGCTGTGAATAATGCTGCCATGAACAATGGCTTACAGGTATCGATTTGTTTTCAATTCTTCAGGTATATACCCCCCGTGAAATTGCTGGATTATATGGTAATTCTGTTCAGTGTTTTGAAAAACCACTAAGCTCCTTGCCATTGCAGCTACACATTTACACTGCAGTATACAAGGGTTCCAATTTCTCTGCATCCTCACCAATACTTGTCCTTTTCCTTTATACATTTTTATTATTATGGCTATTTTAATAGGTTTGAACTTATTTCTCATTTGTATATTTTCCCTGGAAACATGTTTTTCAAGTCCTTTGCCAATTTAATTGGGTTGTCTTTTTGTTGTTGAATTTTAGTTCTTTATATATTCTTTATAATAAACCCTTTTTAGATATATGATTTGCAAGTATTTCTTCCCATTCTATAGGTCTTTTCATTTGCTTAACAATGTCTTTTGATTTATAGTGTTTTTAATTTTGAAGAAGTCTAATTCATTTGTTTTTACTTTTGTTATTCATGCTTTTGTTGTCACATCTAAAACTCCATTGCCAAATTTAAGATCATGAAGACTTACCTATGTGTTTTCTTCTAAAAGCTTTATAGTTTAGAATTAAAGTTTCAAAATTGGGAAATGTGGTTCTCCAACTTTACCCTTTTTCAAGATTGTTTTGGTTATTCAAGGCCTTTTGCAGTTCCTTATGAATTTGAGGACTGCCATTTCCAGTTTTGCAAAAAAGGCCATCAGAATTTTGCTAGGGACTGCACTGTATCAGATCATTTTGCCAGTGTCATCTTAATGATATTAAATCCTCTTACCTTTGAACATGGGATGTTTCTCTAGTTACTTAAGTCTTCTTTAACTTCTTTGAGTCATGTTTTTGTAGTTTTCATTGTACAAGTCTTGCACCTCTTTTATTAAATGTATTCCTAGTTATTTTATTCTTATAATGCTTTTTTTTAATGGATTTCTTAATTTCCTTTTTTGGACTGTTTGTTGCTGGTATACAGAAACAACTGATTTTTGTACCCTACAACTTTGCTGAATCCATTTATTAGCTCTAATAGCTTTCTTGTGGATTCTTTGATATTTCCAAAATAAAGAATCATGTTATCTGTGAATAGAGATTGTTTTAGTTTTTCCTTTCCTATCTGGATGCCTTTTATTTCTTTACCTTCTTTTAGGGTTTAATTAGTCTGGCTAAAACTTCCAGTACTACGTTAAAAAGCAGTGGTGAATATAGGCATCCTTTTCTTGTTCTGATCTGAATAGGAATGCTTTCAGTCTTTCGATATTGAGTATGATGTTAGTTGTGGGTTTTTCATAAATGCCATTTAGCACACTGAGGAAGTTCCTATTTCTCATTTTCTATGTTGATTGAGATGATCATGTGTTTCCCCCCCCTTTCATTCTATTTGTAATCCTAATGTGTTTTTAATGAATAATCAAGATCTTAGTTTTTCATAAACTTCATACAAATTTTTATGTAACTTTAGCATATTTGACTAACAGGATCAAATCTACCTAAGGGGTACAATATGAGTAGTCAGGCACAAAAAATTTACCAAGTTTGGACATGGTCCCTGAAACTTTCTTGTGCTGAAATTTGCTTAACCTTGTTTGTTTAATATTTTCTTGAAAAAACAATCAGGAAAGCAATGTATATTTTTTCCCCCAGTTATAAGAACTTGGAATTCCCCTCCTATCCCCATTTTCATAGCTACCAATGTATTTAGACTATCATACCAAGTTTAGCTTGTAATATCTCCCTTAGGTTTCTTCCTTGTCCATTCACCCTTCAGATGGTATTGTATTACCTCTCCTCTAACATTTACAGTCTAATTAAAGTCCAAACATACTTGATCTTTTTTATTAAATATGAATTGCAATTCCCCGTTTTTAGTATCTCTATAGTTCTGTTTGCGTTGAGAACAGCTACTTACTGTCAAGAACAGTTTTTTACATTCCCTTTGCAAATATAATCTTCTCCACTGAGAGTGTTCTTTTCTGTTCTCCCCAACATCAAGGTACCTCTTTGCTCCTTTGAAATTTGAACAACTGATTAGCCCTTTATTAAGTTTATCTTTGACACTATATTTCCTAAGTATTCCGAAAAAATTTTTTGTTGTATAATCTGTCTTCCATCTGGTTGCTAATTCTCTTTAGGATAGATTCTCTTATTTCTTTGCATTCTATGACAACGAAAATAAAAACAACAAAACCATCCAAGGGTTTTGTAAAGCAGTCTGACTCAAACTCTACCACTTACCAAAGGGTTGTGAGGATTGAACAGAAAAACAGAAGTAAACTCCACCAGTACAGAAAGAGCACAACTTCTGCCTCTAATGCCTACTATAAGAACTCAATAAATTCTGTACATTTAAATGACTGTTAATAAGGTTTCCAAGCAAACCTTTTTTTCAACTTCCAAAGGAAGTCTCACATCTCTTCTTAGGAAAAGTTGTGGTGTTTCCCTTTGGGGATCCAAATTAGTCAATTCAGCAAGTATCTCTGGCCAGTCCCGAACATGTTGCAAGGGTTTGTGATAAGGTTTGAGTTGAAGGCCTGAAAAACATCAGTCCTTTTGTAGATGATAATGTAAAAACAAATCAATTATTTCAATGCATAGAAACTTTATATTAAATTTTCTACACATAAGTACCAAATATGCACAAATTAAGTCTAAATCAACACTGACATTATCAATATCACCACCTAACTTGAGGTTAATTGCTTTTTTAAAAAAGATTTTATTTATTTTTAGAGAGAGGGCAAAGGGAGGGCCAGAGGGAGAAAATTATTGATGTGTGAGAGAAACATCAATTGGTTGCCTCTTGCATGCTTCAACCAGGGATTGGGCCACAACCCAGGCATTTGCACTGACTGAGCACTGAACTGGTAACCTTTCATTTTGCAGGACACTCAGGGAGCTGAGCCATGCTAGTCAGGGTGAGGTTAATTGCTGTTGTTCTTAAGAACACAAGAATTATGAGAATGATTCTTAAAGGAAATAAAATTAAATCTATTTAAGATCCTTAATTCCATGAGAGCCTATTTAATTATGATAGTCAGTAGTATTTGGTTTAAAAAAATACAATTAAACCATTAGATAACCAATCACAATAACCTAAATTAAATCCTTTATGTATATACAATACTTTGAGACACAAATCTATAGTGAAATTAGATTGACATTAAATAAAAAAGATCTGAAAGAATATTAATATAAAGAAAAACTTTTGTATTATTTTGAGCACTGAAAATGAAGGGAAGTTGGGTGAGCACCATGTTTAATGGGATTCAAATCAAATTCCATTGCCAGAGAAGAAATGTTTTGGTTTTTACCACTTAAAATATTGTTTGAATGAATTTGGGGGTGGGGGGGTGGGGAGTGGGCCCAGAGACTTACCTGTTTCAAGAGTTTGAGCACTAATAATTTAGGTAAAAGAGAACATTGTTATCATTTCAAAATTTAAGTAATAAATTGATGCTATACTGAAATTTACCAAGCCACTCTCAAAAAATATAATAAAGTTTACACAACAAAACAACAACTAACTTACTGAGGTTTTCTGAACAGATCCAAATAGTGAAATATTGCTGTGTTTCTTGAGAGAGACGCATTCCTTCCATTATCTGCTGTACTGTGGTATTATTTCCATGCTTCAGTTCAACAGAACGGTATGATCCATCCATTCTGTATATTCGAACTTTTTCATACTAGAACAAATAATTTAAAAAAAACTATGCAACCTAGTTACAAATTGTACAATGCAGTCCAACAAAATGCTTTAATTTCAACTTAATCTCCTTAATGTAGATTTCTAACATGGAAAATATCAGAAAAACTGCTTCAAATGGGAATCTTCTGGCAATATTTTTTAAAAATTTTACTTCCATTATTCATATTTTCTAAGATGCTTTCCTCTGGCTATTCCATGGTCAAGTAAGTTTGAGGAATTAAGGTAAATGACTTTTTAAAATTTTCAACTTCAAAAGCTTCAGAGAGGATATTTTAAAGTCCTTATGTACAAAGTAAATTATCAAATGGGGGATGTACACTGGTTAACTAAATCTGGTTGGTGTTAGTCAAGGACCTCATGAGTCTAAGTGGGCCACAAATTATACTACAGGAATGTGTATCAGAAATAATTTGTTCTAAGAGGACTCTGTGATAGAAGACTGCAGGCAGAAGTTATGAGCAATGGACTTTGAGCCAATTCCTTTCCTCCAGTTCAGAAAATCCCTGAGACAAATGATATTCTCAATACATTTTTGTTGTTATGAGAAGTAAATGATACCGCCAAACAACTTTCAGGCCAGTTCATTTTGGATAAAACTACTTAATTCCTTTTATCTTATACACTTTAATATAAAAATCATGCCAAGGAACAAAAGTGTTTTAACTACATATACAATTAGAAAATAAATTGCAATGAAATATAAGGGTGCCTATGTTATACTTCACTTATCTATTATACTACTTATTTTCATGTGCTCATGGAATAGTGTTTTGACAATGTGTGTGTATAGTTAGCTTTAAAGTAAGACTATAAATTCCTTATCACTTCCAACATTTCATGGTGTTAAATTCACAGAAATATTCAACAAAGACTTATTGTCTAGCTCAGTGATTTTCAACCTTTCTCATCTTATGGCACACATAAACTAATTACTAAAATTCTGTGGTACACCAAAAATATACGTGATATTTTTTGCCAATATGACAAAAAAAAATGTATAATTTTGATTCATTCACATCGGATGGCTACTGTTGTATTGGCTGTTGTCATTTTTTTATTTGACAGTCTAAGGGAAAAGAGGTCAGTGCCCCTGACTAAATAGTCAGATACTGCATGTTTAACAATTATTGCAGTCCCACAGTAAGCCACATCCCACTGGTTTGAGAATTGCTGGTCTAGTTGGTGGGAATGTCTGGGAAGACTCAGACATACAGGTTACATCTGTTGGTATCAAACTTTTATCCTGTATTTGTTGGTATGAATCCTTTTATCTAGTTTTCATACTGTCTTTCAACTGATGATGTATTTATCATCACTGTAACTTTTAGGATTGAGCTTTTTCTAGTGTTAATTCTTTTCTACCTTAATGTCACTACTAATTATTTTGGACATAATTAGATGGAAAGGCCATGGTGAAGATGTAGAAAAAGCTAGGAACTCTCCCATTTTAACCCATTCACTTTCTTGAGGAGGAAAATGAATCTGTAATAGATAAGAAACTTGCTGAAACTAAATTAATGAACAATTTTTAATGTTTTTACAAATATAAAATAGTGCTGAGAAGGCCCAAGAGACATATGTCTACAAGAATAGATTACAATTTGTAATTAGCATACCAAGTAGAGATTATACTTGAAATTAGATTAATTTTAAGTGATTAAAAGATTTATTTATGCAAGTTTCATTCTGCTATGCAAGAAGAAATGTCCAAGTGTTTTGGATGGTAACAAATTTAATACTAATGAAGTCTAACCATGAGGTTTTATAAAAGCAGTAAAGAAAGCCAGCCAGCCTTTCATCCTTCCACTCCTGCCAAAGATCCTCAAACTACTTAGCAAGTTGAGTAGGATGCATGGCTCTAGTATGAAGATAATTCTTACTGGTTTGTTAATGGCTTCCTTCAACAATTTTGCAGTTTCTTCCCAATTATTTTGTTTGTTTTCTTCACAAATATTTAAAGGGGATTTTCCTTGTTGGTCTGTTATATGCTAGAAATGTGGGAAAAAAGTGGAAAAAGAAAAAAGGCATGATAATTATATGGCAATCTAAGGGAAAATATCATTCAATCAATTAAAGTTTGATTACAAAAATAGACTCTTCTCAAGTAGTAAGTAAATATTAACCATACTTAGTACATGCTATACTTAAACATGAATTTCTAAGTATGAAATACTTTAAGCACTAATCAATGTGATTGTTTTTGAAAAGTTCTGATTATAAATACAATGAAGGTTTTGTTAAAATTATTAATTTTCCCTTCACAAATACAAATTCATTGAAAGTGTGTAGAAAATCTTTTTCACTCTCAAGTACATTTTCGAGGAAATACAATATAAAAAGAACAGAGGATGCATTTTATGTGCATTCTGGAGATGGACAGCGGTGATGCCTGCACAGTAATATAAATGTACTTAATGCCACTTAACTGTACACCTAAAAATGGCTTACATGGTAAATTTTATGCAAGGCGTATTTTACCACAACAGAAATGTGTATGCACAAAAGCAAAGTTTATATGTAATACTTATTCTATATAGTTAGTGCAACTTTTATTTTTCAGCTACCTCTCAAGTATCCCATTAAACATTTTAGTGTCATTCACTGCTTCTTATTCACTTGTTATTTACTGCTTGAACATTAAAAAAAAATAACTTACTCTGTCAACTTCGGGATGATTTAAGAGGATCTGTACTATTTCAGCATGTCCTCCTCCAGCAGCAAAATGAAGAGGAGAACTAAGATGTCCATTTAAAAGGTTTGGATTGCATTTTCCTTTCTCCAGCAATATGCGAGTAGCCTCAACTTTTCCAAGCCTACAAAAAAAAACCCCCAAAAAAACCTAAAACAGTCATCTCAGATGTTTTAAAACTACAAATTTTAGAGGACACCTCAAAGAAATCTAAATTTTTCTAGGCAGAGAGCAAGGAATTAACACATTGACAAATGTTGACTTCCAGTCAAGATGGAGGTATATGTAGACAAACTTCATCTCCTCATGCAACCATAAAAAGGATTACAACCAGATCTCAGAAACAAATAACATCCAGAACCATCAGAAAATCGAGTTGAATGGTGGAAGTCTGACAACCAAGGATTTAAAGAAGCCACATTCATCCAGATGGGTAGGAAGAGGGAAGGAGGGGAGGAGTTGTAGAGATGGGCCAGAGAGGCGGTGTGGTGTGGACAAGTGGTGACAGTGGTAGAGGTGGACTGTCTCACATTCATGTGTGGTGGACAAAAATTGGGAGGGATACCCTGGAAGCAAGTGATCCCAGCCCCTGGCCAGACCACACAGACAAAGGTTCCAGCACTAGGGGGATAAACTCCCATTACTTCTGGCTGTAAAAACCAGTAGGGGTTGGGGTGGTAGAAGAAACTGTCAGATTCTCTTCCCTTAAAGGGTTCACATGGATTTAGAATGCATGCAAACCCTAGGGCAGCAGCTGTAGGGGCACCAATTACATACAAGAAGGGGATAAAGTGACTGGAAACGGGGCAAGCGCTGGGCAAACCTCCAGAGGCCAGGCAGCAGTGTTGTCCCCTCTCTGGGATCCATCCCCACCACAAGTGGAGCCATGGAGCAGTGAAGCAGGATGCTCTGCCATGGCAATTAAGTAAGGCTCCGTCCCCAACAATTTATTTACAGGTGTCTTTGCTACACAGGCCACACTACTAAGACAGGAAGTAAAAGCAGCTCTACCTAACACACAAAAACAAACACAGGTAGGCTGCCAAATCGAGGAAACAAAGAAATATGGGCTAAATGGAAGACCAGAGCAAAACCCCAGAAAAAGAACTAAATGAAATGGAGATAGCCAACCTATAAGATGCAGAGTTCAAAACACTGGTGAAGGATGCTCAGAGAACTCACTGAGTATGGCAAAAAAAATAAAGAAATGAAGGTACACAATGTGAAATCAAGAAAAATATACAGGTAACCAATAGTGAAGGAAAGGAAGCTAGGATTGAAGTCAACGATTTGGAACAAAAGGAAGAAATAAATATTCAACCATAAAAGAAATAAGAATTCAAAAAAATCAGGAGAGGCTTAGGAACCTCTGGGACAACTTAAAACATTCCAACATCCAAATCATATGGGCACCAGAAGCAGATGAGGAAGAACAATAAATTGAAAGCTTATTTGAAAAAATAATGAAAGAAAATTTCCTTAATTTGGTGAAGGGAATAGACATACAAGTCCAGCAAACACAGACAGTCCCAAACAAGTTGGACACAGAGAGGACCACACCAAGATACATCATAATTAAAATGCCAAAATTTAAATATAAAGAGAGAATCTTAAAAGCAGCAAGAGAAGAGCGGAGAGTTACCTAAGAAGAAGCACCCATAGTTACCTAAGAAGAAGCACCCATAAGACTATCAGCTGATTTTTCAAAAGAAACTTTGCAGGCAAGAAGGGGTTGGCAAGAAGCATTCAAAGTGATGAACAGCAAAGACCTATATCCAAGATTACTTATCAAGCAAAGTTATCATTTAGAATGGAAGGGCAGACAGAGGGCTTCCCAGACAAGGTAATGCTAAAGGAATTCATCATCACCAAGCTCTCATTATGTGAAATGTTAAAGAAACTTACTTAAGAAAAAAAGATCAAACCTATGAACATTAAAATGACAACAAACTCACAACTATAAATAACTGAATCTAAAAACCAAAAACACACACAAACTAAGCAAAAAACCAGAAGAGGAATAGAGTCATAGGTATGGAGATCGTTTGGAGGGTTCTCAGCTGGGAGGAGGGAGGGGGAGAATGGGGGAAATGGTGCAGGAATTAGGAAGCATAACTAGTAGGAACAAAATAGAGAGGGGAATTTAAGAGTAATATAGGAAATGGAGAAGCCAAAGAATTTACACACATGACCCATGCATGGGAACTAAGAGGGGGTGATTGCTGGAGGGAAGGGGTTACTGGGTGGAGCGGGGCACAGCTGGCAAAATTGGGACAACTGTAACAACATAATCAATAAAATATACTGGAAAAAAATAATAATCACCACCCAAAATTGTTACAAAGGTCCCTTCAAAGATGGATTTACATACATTATCATTAACAACAAAACTTACTCTATGTGTATATTGTGCCTTGAAATATTAGTTATTGATAGTAAAGAGTCATCAAAATTTTTTAAAAAAGATTGACAAAATTTTCAGTGCCTAGGGATTGATTTATGAATTATTGTTTCAATTCAACTGTGTTTATTTCTAATCAACTTGGAGAAAATAGAACCTAAATACAAAATAGAACAAAGTATAAAAATAAATTAGATAAAAGTTTTAGTCAAAAATGTGTTCAGAATCAAGGAAAAAACTCATAAACTTATGCTTTTCACAAAGTCCTGTCATTTAAAAAATAGGCCCAAAGACATAATTCTGTATGTAGCTATTACATTTGGTAATGTGTGACACACAAACATGTCTAATATACATTATCTCTGCTATGATAGAGGAGTACAATGTAATCAGAAAGTAAGACGAAAACATGGGATAGTCATATAATGCTCAAAAAAAATTTTTTTTTTACATTAACAGTTTAGGATACCAACCAACAAAATAAGGTACTATATACTTGTCAAATCAATAGAGTATATAATTAATGCTTTAAAGATGTTGGGAAAAGATTACTTTAGTCTAAAATGGTCCTATGAAGAGTTTTGATAGATGAACAATATGAACTGGATATTAAATAGGAAAGAATTGAAGAGAGGTAAATAGATCTTAGGTAGTGGGAAAAGGAATAAGCAGGACCCAGAAAAGTACAAAGCATGAGCCAGGAAAATGAATGAAACCTTTCTGAGAGAAAATTTAGAGAAAGATTATCACCTTAGAACAATGAAATGCATCTTGAAATACATTCTTTCAGGACAGGAAAAAAATGCTAAGGGACCAATCCAGTAAGTTATAACAAAAGTAATTAATGTAAACATATATTTTGTATGATGCTTTAAAATTTTCAACTTTCTGATATAATTATAATTACTTAATCTTCACAGCAACTTACAAGGCAAGCAAAGTTATTTTGCTTGATCAGAAGAGAAAAATGAAGCTTGAACCAATTAAGTAATTTGCCTAAGGCCTTATGGTTACCAGCCAGAGTTAAAATTCAGTTTTTGAAACTTAGTATAGCAATTTCCACAGTAGTACACATGCTTGGGTAACAAAACAGAGACCAGCATTTCAGTAATAAGGATGATGTAATAATAATAGCTTGCATTTATACTTGACCTTCATTATAGCTCCCTTATGCTCTTTTAACTCTCACTTGTTCTCAGAATGAAAGACTGTTTAACAGTATTAAATACTGTAGAGTAGGGAAAGGGATTAAAATATAGAAAAGGTTAAGAAGGTTCATAAATAGTGTGGTGGTACCTCACTCACCTTTGAAGTCTGGCTATAAAAGGAAGGAAAGAAACATGATAGTGTCCAGAAGAAACAGCAGGTTCTTTTTAAGGGGGAAGAGAGCCATATATATTTGAAGGCAAGAAGAAAGAAAGTACAGAATAGGAGAAAGTAAATTTAATGAGGAACAAGAAGGATTTTTACTTGTATATCCTATGATACAGGAGAGAGATGGGAACAAAACTGATTAGTGGTAGAGAAGGAGGACATTTTTAATCCTTAAATTTTCTTTGAAAATAGGAATAAAACTATCCAATGAGAGTAAAGAAAGCAAGCAGTGGGAGTTCAGGAGCTTAAGAGTAGAAAGGTTTACAATCACTTGTTGGGGAGGACTAAAAGGCTGACATGGTGAACGAGACATAGAGGATAAACAGCTAAGTTACAGTGAAGGCCCAAATGAAACTGATGGAGTAATCTGTAGGGAGCAAAATCACTATAGTTCTAAAACACCTGCTATCAATGATATGAAGCCTAAAAGTACTATCAGAAAGAAAAGAAAATGATTTGAGAGAGGTAAGAGAACATGGGATGTCAGTGAGACATTTACTGAGTGTCTAAAAAGTTACCAATATGGGGAGAAAGCCAACTTGAATAACTTTGGAAAATGGGGATTGTAGAAAAAATTTTAGGTACATGGTCACCAATATGAGAAATTTAAAAGCTTGGGGCAATCCTAAGGATGATTTAATTAAGTGGTTTTCAAAGAGTGATCGGGGAACCCATGAGGATCCCTAAAATCTTTTCAAGGTGTTCTCTGAGTCAAACATATTTTCATAATAATAATACTAGGATGTTATTTGCCCCTTTCACTCTCATTTTCTCCTAAGTGTATTAGAAGCTACATGACATGTTACATTGCAACTAATTTAAGGTAGAATCAGATGTGAAAATCCAGCTATCTTCTATTTAGCTGGAGATTTGCAATAATGTAAAAACAATGCAATTCTCATTAATTTTTGTAATTTTGGGAAGTATATTTCCTAAAATTTGTTATTTATGTTAATAGCTGTTTATTGTTATTTTAAATAAATACTTCAAATATTTTGCAGTTTTATCTTCTAATATGATAAATAATACCAGATATAATTCACATAAAAAAAAGCTCTTTGGGATCCTGTGATTTTTAAGCATGACAAGGGACTCTGACACCAAGGTTTGAGAACCACTGATCTAATAAAAACTCTCATTTCAAAGATGAGAAAAGAGACCAAGAGGGGTGAAATATCTTGTCTAAACTTATAAATATAGGCCCCAATTCCTAATCTCTTGATGAAATAGTATTCTCCTCCTCAATCCTTGTACCAATTAGTTTATAAGAGTACATTTCCAAGATAAAGTCATTAAGTTCTTTACTAAATAGTTGAATCAGTCTTCATTCAAATTCACATCAATAAAATAGTCTATCTGATTTAAAGTTTAGCAAGGTGACCCATGCCTCTTGGTGTATTAAACTTAGTTATTATTTCCCAGCTGACACAAACTTAATTTTATCAAAGGATAAAACTCTTTTCCTTGGTGTATTGCAGTAATAAGGTTTTCCAAGTAAAAACACTGAAGATAACTGAATTTTAGATTTACACATCAAAATCTTTAAATTTTTACAATACTTTAATAGTAACAGCCAACATTTATTGCTTACTATATCCCAGACATTCTCAAAATATTTATTTGCATTTTCTTCTTTAACCTTAAGAAAGGTACTATGGTTAAGCCCATCTTGTATATAAAGAAACAGATCGTTAGAGATTTTTAAGTAACTTGCTAAAGGTCATACTTTTAGGAACTAAGAGTTGGGACTGAAACCTAGGGACAATCCAAAGCACATTAAATCTATACCATACTTCTGTTTTTATGTAATAGGTAGTGGAAGATACTACCATTCTTTTATTAGAGGAGAAAATAACTCCAGGCCTGCACCCCCCACAAAGGGCAACAATATAGCCTAATATAAATTTGGATTTCCTAAAGTGAAATCCACCACCTGTCTTCCCCAGTTTCACAGTGTACTTTCTCGGTGATTGAACTATATTCTCCACCTCTTTTTGTTTAGTTCCAGGTAAAGCATGTGGGTTTTTTTTTAGTAGTGTGGCTGCTAGCAGTATTTACTAGTAATTTGAAGAAACAACTGTAAGTTTAGTTAAGGAAGATTTAGGGTAACTCCAAACCTGATATAAAAAGTCTCTGTAATGGGCCCTGGCTGGTGTGGCTCAGCAGCTAGAGCACTGGCCTGCGAACCAGGAGGCCACTGGTTCGGTTCCCAGTCAGGGCACATGCCCAGGTTGCGGGCCAGGTCCCCAGTGTCGGGGCACTCAAGACGCAACCACACATTGCTGTTTCTCTCCCTCTCATTCTCCCTCCCTAAAAATAAAATAAAATAAATAAATAAAATATTTTAAAAAATTGTCTGTAATGGGCAAACAAGAAAACATTTATAGAATAAAGAAGTGTCTTTTTAAGAGAAAAAAAATTAAAAGCATATTTACTGAATAAAGAGGCATATTTCTAAGGAAACAGCATATTTTTAAGGAATAAAAGATGTATATTTAAAGCAACTATATTTAGCTTCTTGATCACAAATACTGGAATTAGTGAAACCAAAAGAATTTGAGCTGAAAAGAACTGTAGAAATGATCTAATTAATGCGTTTTACATAGAGATTAAAAATAACAGAGAGGCAAAGAAGTGAAGTACCTTGCTCAATGTCATGCAACTAAGAAGTGTGGACATTTAACAAGCAGTAAATAATACAGGCACTTCTTAAATGAGCCAAAGAAATTCACTTTAACCAGTAAGTCAAAAGTTACCTTTCCATAAGAAATAATGATAAATAACTTCATTACATCCTCTCTAAATGATGGGCTATAGCAAATGATTAACTACTGCTATGAATACAAATTTAAGAACTTAGCCCAACCGAGGGGAAAAGTTACCATCATGTGAGGAGAGTAGGTGAGCAAGAACTACAATGGGCAACTAGTGGAAAGAGCTAAACCTCAATCCTGTGAGCTAATCCCGCTCATCCTTTTAAAAAAAAAAAAAAAAAGGAAGGCTTTGATTCTAATTAGAGCTTCTGAGGGTTTCCCCGCAAAGAACTAAAAGGATATTTTTCTAATATGAGGTCCAATCATAAGTAGTTAACACATGTAAATTTTATAGTAAGGATAAGTAAACATAACTCCAATAAAAAAACAATAAAAACTGCTAGGATAAATAGGGACCTTGTGCTGCGCAATGACACTTGCTGGTCGTTAGTTATCCTCTGGCATGACCTGGTTAATGCCTGAGAATACAAACACACTTCTCCCATGAGGCAGACCTGGCAATTCTGAATGGACGCACATATATGGTAATTGAAGATCTCAATAGAAAGCTTGTAAGGCAAACATGGTAGGAAAAAAGTGGCTGGAATGAGAATAATTTTGAAAAGGAACGTTAACATTTATAACTAAGAATTCATTCTTTAAAAAGGAAAATAATAAGTAATATGTTTACCAGCATGCATAATGAATGGGTGCCCAGTGGTCATTATCTAATTGGTTGACTGAAAATTTTTCATTGAGAAGACGGGTTAATAATTCTGAATCTCCTTCACAGGCACTTCGATGGAGAGGAAAATCATCTACCCATGGTCGTTCCCTGTTCAAAAAAACAAACTGAAAGCTATATATCACCGAGCAGTTACAAACTACGTCACTTATGCAATGGCTATATTACATATTAAGTGCATATATCATTTTAAGCAATATTATAATGGTAGAATGTAAGTTTTTTAAAAAGCAATGTGGAGTAAAACCAAAACAGTACTTGTCTTCTGTGACACTGCTCATGCTTCTCTGCCATTTTTCCTGTTTGGGAATTTGAATTTTTGAGTAGTCTGGAGCTCCTAGGCCAAAGTATGGATTAATTACCACTTTATCAACCTAGAAAGGAAAAACAAAACAAAAAAACCCAAAAAAGCCCTTAAGAGTTTTAGATATTTAACTTTAATACATATATAGAGCTAAGTATGGATGTCACCTTAATGGTTACAATAGTAATAGATGCATTTACCTCAGAAAAAAAAATTTACATTTGAGATGAAATGTGTTTTGAAATCAGAGCCAAAATATATTCAGTTCTTACCCGATTTGTGTATTGAAGATCTGATCCAAATAAAGGGTTGTAAATACAGGTATCTGCTTTCTCTAGGGCTAACATTTTACTCTTTATTTCTAGTGCACTATAGCCCATATGTAGTGAGTTTTCTGTCTGACCTAATTCAGTAGCATATGCAGGATTTATGACATTAGTTTTTATTCGCTCAAGAGGAGATGGTCGGAATAAAGCTGGAATAAAGTGAGATTGTGCATGACGTTCATCTAACCACCTAGCAAAATAGAAAAAAGAAATAGAAATATTTATTCAAAAGTGAAGATAAAAGTAGAATACTATCCAATTCTAATATGTGATACTTTCTCATATTGACATTTATAATTTTAATTAATGTTGGTAAAGTACTTCATTTACTATTAATAAAAGTTTTGTTAATGGACACCGCAAAATACTTTTAAAAATGCATATACCACTATAATAAAAAAACCAGTTTCAAAAAATGCAATGCATTTTTAAAATTTAAACCACTGAGATGTAGATACATTAGCCCTGTTGTTACAGAAAGACAAAGTCATGGGCATGATAGGTTAAAAGACTTGTTCACTGATGAGAGTAACTCAATATTAAATCTAGTTTCATAAAAACTTACCGTTTCTTTAAAATTGAAACCACACTGAGGTATCACTGCATATCTGTTAAAATAACTATTATGTATGTCCATTGCAGCATTATTTACAATCGCCAAGACAGGGAAGCAGTGCAATTGTCCACCAGTAGATGAGTGGACAAAATAACTATGGTATATTCACACAATGGAATACTACTTGTCCGTAAAAAAAGAAGAAAATTTTACCCTTTGCAACAGCATGGACAGACCTGGAGAATATTATGCTAAGTGAAATAAGCCAGTCAGAGACAAATACCTTTTATTTCATTTATATGTGGTATCTAATGAAGAAACTGAACTAACAAGCAAAATAGAGACAGGTTCATAGATAGAGAGCAGGCTGACAGCTCCTGGTGTTGGTGGGGAGGGCAATGGGGCGGGGGAAGGGATTGAAAAAATAGGAAAAAGGACTCATTGGACATGGACAACAGTGTGGTGACTGTCAGGAGGTATAAAGGGGGTTAAATGGTAATGGGGAAAAAAGACAATAAAAAAAGCATAAAAATAAAAAAAAAGAATGGAGGGGAAAAAAAGACAAGAAATAAAAAGTATTAATAGGATGTGGGGGAAAGGAAACCCTCAGGCACTGTTGGTGGGAATGTAAATTGGTGCAGCCACTATGGAAAACAGTATGAGAGTTCCTTAAGAAAATGAACAGTAGAATTACCATATGATCCAGTAATTCTTCTTTTGTGTATCTACCCAAAAAATATGAAAGCACTAATTGGTAAAGATATATGTAGTACCCCCATATTCATTTGCAGCTTTATTTACAATAGCCCAAGACATGGCAACAACCTAAGTGTCCACCAACAGATGACTGGATAAAGATGATGTGAAATATATACACACAACAGAATACTATTCAGCAATGGGAAAAAAAAACCCCAATGAAATTCTACTTATTTCTTACTTATCCAAGGCTATTAACATCCTTGCTGTAAGAGTAGCAAAGTGAGCGCTGGACTCACTACAGACTCGCATGATATCTTGTAAGCAGTAAAAAATAGGGCATCCTGGAGTATATGCATATTTAGTATTATCTGGAAAAGAAAAATAAAAGAATTATGCCATCATATACCATCACATAAAAGGTGTATAGCTCCATGTTTATTTAAAAGTTATAGTATACTGAGGGGGAAAAAAACTGTTAGGTATAGATTATTTTAGATTTGTAATTAGAAGACTTGTATTCAAGTGATGGCCAGCTCCATGTGCCCTTATCCACTTGGGTGAATTCAGTATTTAGAATCTTGGAGAATTGAAATTATTTCCTCTTTCTCAGTGTTATAATACTTTGATTTGTAAGATTTCTAATACCATTTAAAATAGTGCCACTGCTGTTGGGACAATATTTTAGAACTATTACCGGACACTTTCTTGTCCCAAACACAAGAGTGGTCCTGATCATAATATCTTAATTTTCAAAAATACGTAAATATCTATTTCCATGCTAGCTATTGTATATATCCTTTGAAAAATCCCTTAGTTTAACCTGACAACTTTTTAGTTTCAATTATGACTTCCCACAGAAACAAAATTATCATTCAGTCCAGAAGTCTGATTATTACTTTGAAATCAAAACATCTTTGTTTAAATAACAAATTTCCCATCTCCTAGTAACAACATATATTTCACAAGTGTTATAGCAGTAACTATGAATGCAAATTTCTAAATTCCACAATAGATTTTTTTAAAAAGATTGATTTATTTATTTTTAGAGAGCAGGCCAAGGAGGGAGAGAGGGACAGAAACATGGATGTGAGAGAGAAACATGTGCCCGCAACAGGAATGAATCATTGATGCTTTGCCTTGCAGGACCATATCCATTTGAGCTGCACTGGTCAGGGCTCACAATAGATTTTAACTTAGCATCTAAGGCACAAAATGATTCATAAGATAAAACTTGAACTTTACCTTTGACGACTGATGGAACAATATACAATGCTGCTTCTCTGCCTATCTTCTCCCCATCCAGAGGAAATTTCTTCAGTAGTACCACTCGTTTTCCTAATAATTTTTTTAAGTCAGTAAAAATTTAAAAGAAGGCTTTTACATTTTCTAAATTACATTGAGAATTAGAATTTTTTTAAAAAGGCAGTGAGAGGAATTAAAATATTATTGTCTATTTTATTATATGCCCTAATAAAAACTAGTAATTCTGATAATACTCATTTTGTGTACAATTAACCAGTGGATTCACAGTCCTGGTCTTGACTCAGAAGAGAAGCTTCCTGTGAATAGCAAGAAAAACTGTTCTGCTAAGGGCTGACAGACCTGCTGAACAGCGAGGCATCCTGAAGGATCAAGATGCATATGATTCCTTAATCAGCAGGGATGCAGATCTTCATATTTTTACTACATTCTAAGCTGGCTAAGTTAGGTGGTATATAAATTGCAAAATCTTATAGTTTAGCACCTCTTCACTTAATCTACAATCTCCACCCTAAATTTCCAATTTTTAATAAAATCTGATTGGATTATAAACTATTGCTTTGAATTGTAACCAACACTCTTAGTCTGTTTTTCCTGATCTGGCAGCAAGGACAACATAAATAATAACCGAGAAGTCTTGTACTCTAAAACATCTCATGTTCTAGACACCTTTGCCACAATTTTTATGAACCCTTCCAATCTCTCCACCCCAAGAAATAGAATCTTGTTCCTCACCCTGGCTGGATGTCTTCCATGGACAGGTAGATAATTTAAGAGTTCAAGTAGCTTCATTTATTCACAAAATACTGGAATCAGTATATGGATTATTATGGCTCATTATTACAGCCCCCAATTATTTTATAAAATGGATTCTTATACAAAATAGAAACATTAGATACAGAATAACATTCTATTAAATTTCAGAAGCAATATTTCTTTTGTTGGGCTTGAGGTTTTGCCTTACTTAATCTTTCCTGCCTTGCTGCTTCCCCAAATCAAGTTCTGCTCCATTGTTCAACTGCCTACTATGCCAATTATAGCTGTTAGTATGAGATCTATTGTGGGGGGAAAAAATAAAAGCTGACTACGGGTTAGGAAATGAAGGTTCTAGTCTTAACTCCTTCACTAATGGAAATATTATTTTAGCAGGTGACAACCTATGTGTTTTAATAGATATGAAAATGACCATACACCAACTCATAGGACCAATTTAACAATTTCATGAACAAGTTTTGGCAGTGTTTTGTAAATTATAAAAATCACTGCACAAAAAGGTAAGGCATAACTGCTATTGTAAAACCATTTGTGGTTTTCATGTGATACTTCTATAAGGAATCATATTAATCTATAAAAATATTTCACACATTTAGGAAATGTCAATTGATTAAGACAGTCAGAATATGGTTTGGCTCATAAATATAATTGTTTAGTTAAGTAAAACTTCTATATTTTAACTTCTCTTATTAAGTGCTACTTGAAAAAATATTAGTATGTTTTACTAAGTATACATGGCATAACTATGCTAGACATGTTTCAGGGTGCCTGTCCACTCATAACTTCTAGGAGAAATGACCCAGCCCTCTGGGCCAGGGGACATCTTTGTCTACACTGACACCACTTCCATCCCTTGTTTGGGTGAATGGACTGAGTGGTAGAGTTTGGCTAATTTGTAACACATTATGACTCTCAGCTCAAATATATGATTTGGGTTAATTGGACTTTTGTTTCAGGAATTTGATCTCAGAATAGATCCTGGTAATTTTAACAGTTTAGCAACAGTAAAACAAGTCTGGATGAAAACACTAGAAAAGTTTAAGACTAAGGAAGAAAAGGCTGACAAATTTGTGGCATCCAAAGATAGACTTTTGCATGCCTTTATCACCCACAAGGTTAGTCCCCTTTTTAGATAAGATCAATCTCTAGATCATATCTGATAATTAGAGAAAGGAGATGTTGTTTGTGCGACTCAAAATATATATCAAAGATCTGTAACTTTATGCAGGTACTGATAATCTTGTGTTACAATGCTTAGAATCCCAAACCACAAAACCTCTCTAGGCCGTACTGGAAAGGTAAAATATAGTGAATGCTACTTCCAAAAGTTATGAAAAGTAAGCTTACAGTTAGCTATCTCTGGTGAATAAATATCCAAAATAACTAGTAAATCAAACCACAGGATTCAGCCTTATCTCTGCAACAAAAATAGTCTCTGTACTACTAAAACAGATGAGTTAGACAACTAATCCCTATAAAGATGAACAAACAAAAAATGCCAAATAAACTTGAAAGAGGTATGCTTTAACCTCATTAACAACTGTTCCAACTGCTTTGACTGGAATTACCTTTACCTTTTTACTGTAATGCCTAAATCTTGCACAATTTATAATTTCTGCAATTTCTAACTGCTGTCTGCTTCTTGTGAGGTTATGGCCTGTGAAAACTTCTCAATAATTTTTAATCAGTTTCATAGACTATACATTATCCAACATTTTAAATGGGGCCTTAATTTCAGGGTAAATATTCTTCTGTAATTCAGTTTGGTTCTTTGAATAGGGTTTTCTACTTGTGACAAATGGGAAGAAAACCTCTGCTACCTGGTAACTTACAGGACTTTTTTTTTAAAGATTTTATTAAATTTTAGACAGATGGGGAAGGAAGGAGAAACAGGTGGAAAGAAACATCAATGTGTGGTTGCCTCTAGCGCACCCCCTTCTGAGGACCTGGTTCACAACCAGGCATGTGCACTGATGGGGGAATGAAACTGGCGACCTTTTGGTTCGCAGGCCAGCACTCAATCCACTGACCCATACCAGCCAGCGCTAGGACTCTTTCTAATCCATGAATCTTAACTTTTACTTAGTTATGAAGAGAGCTTTACAGTTTTCTTTGTTCTGGAGTAGAGAAATAAAAATAGCAGTTCAAAGATACCTAGGAAACTATACTTCTGGAAAAAGTAGTTTGAACTTTTAGTTTTCATGTGACCCCTTGGATTTCCTGTCTCTACTGAGTAACTCGTTAACACTCATTAAATGTTTCTCAACTTAAAAAAACTGAGGTTACTTTTTCTTTACTCCAGTTACTTCTTCAAGGGGGCTAGGGTGTACCTCAAAAAAATTTGAGTCTTTTTCAAGTTTTTTTAAATAGAAAGGAACATAAAAAGAAATTGATCTTAATATATATATTTTAAATGTCTTTCTCCACAAGCATTTAAAGTAAATGTGTGAAAAGAAGGAAAGAAGGGAGGGAAGGAGGAAGGGAGAGGAGGATAGAGGAGGGAGGGAGGAAAGAAGGAAGGGAGGAAAGAAAGAAAAGAAAGGAAAAGAAAAGAGAGGGGGAAAAAAAAAAAAGAAAGTTTCCTACCTCTGATACCCTGGTTTGCAGGAGAAATTGGTTTGGTGGTTTCTACTACATAATCCAATATGCCTTGTGTTACTTCACTGTTGCCTTGAAGTTTAGTTTCCAACAAAACTTTCTTTCTCTTTTTTTTCTGTCTTTCAATGGGAACTTCATGCAATAAAATCTTAGATAAGAAAAATAATATTGAAAAAGTTTAAATTAAATTTATTTGCTCTAGAATAAGCCAGCAGTCTTTCTTAATCATAGATACATATTAAAATAACCTGGGAAGCTTTTAAAATAATATCAATGCCCAGCTTCATCTCTGACCTATTAAATCAGAATGTTTGGGGAGTGGGGTCCTGGTACTGGAAGTTTTCAAATTCCCCAGGTGATTCAACAGTGCACCCAGGACTGAGAACGAGGATGCCAGAGCACTGCTAAAGCAGGAGCCACCTGACAACCCCTGCAATCTCCTTTACTAGACTTCAGATAACTAACCCCCAAAAAGTAATTTAAGCAACATGTTACAGAAATAAGGTTAGAAGTATTTTATGAGGTTTGGAATCTGTTGCATAAAAAAGATAATTCTGTTTTTGTTCTCCCTTTTCCAATCACATTTACTAATATATGTAATACAGGGTGGGGCACAAGTAGGTTTATAGTTGTGAGAACACCAAACATAATTTATTCTTGTATTATTATTAATTATTGTATTATTTTATATACAAATTGTAAACCTACTTGTGCCCCACCCTGTATAATTGAAAACTATAGAAAAATAACATGATCTCCTAGAAGTTAAAGGTAAAAAAAAATATTTTTTAGCAAATTGTTAAAAATAGTTCCTTGGGAAAATAACCAAGAACAATGCATAGATTGTAATTTTGAATAAGATGACTTTTGCGATTTTTTTTTTTTTACTTTTGAGAACCATTCCAAAAATTGTACTAAAAACAAAATCTATAAATTACAAGGAAAACTCAAATATTTTTTAATATCTAATAACTTATATGTATCAGTGAATAGAAAAATGGTCAAAAGTATACAGCAAAAAAAGAGTGATAGGTAAAGATCTAAGGTTTCAATTCTAGCTTGTCAAGATCTAGGTTGTCAAGAAGAATTTATAGGATATGGTAAGACTATATGTAAATGAAAATGGTAATAGAGACTGACATTCAGTAGTAGCAAGTCAAATGTTAATAAATTGTTCTTACTTCATATGATTTAGCCTTATATTCCCGGGAGTTTAGACTGGCAGTATTCTTTGGACGAATAACAGCAACATATACATCTTCTATGTTTTCTGGATTTCCCATTGCTCTATAAAACAAAGAAATGCCTTGAAAGATTAAATTAGAGGATACATAATCACTTTGTAACACAACTAAATAAGATATTGTTTTTCCTAAATATATATACTACCTAAAAGGCAAGCTAGAGATGACTGGGTTATATATCTTACAACTGAACTATTCAAAACCATGGCTTATAATTTAAGACTTCCTTATAATCCTTTTTCCCTTTTCTATTAAAAGTAAAAAAAAAATTAATGAGGAGGATACATACTTTCAGAAGTCTTAACTGCATAGAAATCTGTTTTCTGCATCTAAAAAAGTGATACAATTATAAAAAAGTCTTATAAATACTAAGTAAATACTGACTTGAAATAGTGACTCAGAATATTAAACACTTACTGTTCATAAGTCACACAAATAAATGTTATATTGTTAATAGTTTGGAAGTTGGAAATAGGTAGCTGCCGTTGACATTTTCTTCAAAACCTTCAGAGAGAACTTTGATAATTGACATTTGGATAAGCTAACATATAGTTTATAATTTCCTTGGAGGTGCCTATTACAGTTGAAAACATTTGGATAGTTGATGAAAGCTTTCTGACAAAGACATAAGAATATTTTCCACTTTCATTATAATTCCCTAAATAATACAACTATTTTCTTTCAAATATATATGTATACATCTCCACTGAGCAATTTCCAACAAGTAACTGAATTTCAAGCACTCTCTTGGTTGTTTAATAATTCTATTTCTTTAAGTGCTATTATTCATTTTTTTCATGGCTAGACTAAAACGCTTCCCTTCCTTTACATACCAGCAAATTTCTAAAAGAACATCAAACAAGAAGTTTCCCGTCCATGTTGAGATTAACCTTTTTCGATTTTTAAAAAAAGATTATTAGGCATTAAAATGATCTGTTCATATTTACTGAATTCTTTATTGCTCCAAATGTCATAGAGTCAGAGGGAAAAAAAGAAAAGATTATTTTCAAGAACTTTTTTTGAGTGTCATTGAAGATGAGATAGGGGAATTTTTATTCTGTTTTTTTCAACTGAAGTTTAATCAACTCATTTTGGTACCTTTAATGCACCTCCCTAAAAGTTTAAGGAAAACTTCCTTAAAAAAAAAAATCTTGTAAAATCCAGTAGCTTTTGTCATTTTAAGTAAATATTAGCCTAAAATTAGAGCAACCATTAAAATTATTGCACAAAAAATTTAATATTATTTAAATAATTAAATAATTTATTTTAAACTATAAAAATTTTCACTGATTTAGATCCAGTGAAACTACAGATACTTCACCAGAAAAACTACAGTAAAACATTAGAATTGAGACATTCATTTTGAAGACCTTTCATTCATTCTCATACAATTTTTTTTCAGTTCAGTTCCCATAAAACCCACCTCATACAACAAAGCTTCCTATACTATGTGAGAAAGATAGTCCTTTTACTTCTCAGAATTTCTGTTTAGCAATTACTTATTACCTCAGATTAACAAAGACTTCAAGATAATAAAATCTCACAAATTATGAATTGTATGGGTGCCTCCTTGAAGATTGCAAGTCCGCACAAGAAAGACATTGTATAAAACATATGACACAATTACAGAAACCTTTTTATTCCCCCTATTAAGCACCTAAAAGAGAAATCAAGCAATTCTGTTTTCTAAACACAACTTAAAGCAAATCAATTCCTGTGCTGGTCAATTCATATTTAAACAATAAAAATTTCATGTAAAATGCTTTATCAATCTCATCACTTCTCCAAAAGATAAACGTGATATAATAAAAAACATAACCATGAGAGTTACAGTCTTTTGTTTTTACATCATTTAATGCTAACATACCGCCAAAAGATTCTAAAAATTTATTTCTAAGAAATGTTCATACTGGAATATTTGAAATATACATACTTCCATTGACATGAAAAAAGGAAACATAAGGCTTAAGTTAGGAAATAAATAAAAGCTACTAATATATGAAGGCAGAACTGCTAGGGTAGAAGAAATACATGTAAAGGAATTGGGAGAGTAACTTTAAAAATAATAGAGGTATAACTAGAGTTTGCAATATGCTTAGACTGAGTTTTAATAAGGGTTCAAGTTACTAAGTATAGGAAATATGTAGCATTTTGTTATACGGTTCATTTTATTCTGGAAAATGCTCAAGCATAAATGATGATATGCTGCCTAAGTAATGAGACCTTACAAATATGTAGAAATGGTTCTCAATTGGGGAACGACCCATCAGTGCCCTCCTGTTAACATCCTCTACTGGGAAAAGACATGCATGCTCAAAGAACTGCCACCAGAAAGGTACCTAATTGGGATCATTTGAAAGTATGTAGGGGCATTTCTAGTTATCACCATGACTGGGAGAGGGGAGGCATACAAATGCCATTTAGTGCCCAATGGGAGCAGGGCGGGCGGGGGGCAGTGGTTAACATCTGTTTACTATGGTAGACAGTCCTGTTTAACAGAATGCCAATGTCTTTAGTAAGAAACATCTGCGATATAGAGTACAGATGTACAAACTTAAAAAGACTTTTGAATCGAGGAAAAGATTCAGCGTGTGAATACCTGGATCATAAATTTAGTTATCAGAAGTTGAAGTCAAAAGGATGATTTACCAGTTTGCGAAGTACATGCTAATGGAAATTACCAACAATGAGAAAGTTCATAAATAAAAAAATATGGAACATTATCTTAGGACTCTGTAAGATGTTCCTGAGACCCCCCCAAAAACCCACCAAGCCCCCCCCACACACAACACCCTTCCTCCATCCTTACTTAAGCAATGTTTCTCAACCTTTTAAAACCCACACCAACTTTAATCAAAACCCAAAAAACCATACTGTCCATAGTTGAAAATCACTAATAAAATGCATTTTTTATCCCCCTAGCCATTTTTTATCAAGTTGTCTCTAAGTTTTTTTTATTGCTTTCAATGTCTAAACATAACATTTAATATGCTTTTAAAATAATATAAAGCTAACATCTATAATACTTATAATGTAATAATGTGCTAGACACTGTGCTAAGTGCTTTCCATATATTAACTTATTTTATACCCCCCCAAGCCTGATGATGTAGGGATTATTATTATCCCCAATTTACAGAAGAAAAATTAAGATGAAGTGACTAAGTTACTTGCCCCTGGTCCCATTCTGCTGAAACAAATCCACTATTTTAAGACATTATGTATATCATTAAAAAGAAGAGATGGAAACTAAATACCAGTAAGAATTCCCCTACAGGGATTTTTGACCATAAAAACCTCATTCTTTTGCTTATATTGGTTTATGGCAATAAAAAGAGAGGAAGTAATAATAAAGTAGAATCGAAAATACCTATTAGTGCTTCTTCTACCCCAGCCTGCTTTCTCCTTGTCCCTTCAACCAATTCTACCAGTCACCACTTATCACCAAGCGTCACCAATAATTTTGAAACTCTTTATATTAAGTGACACTCTACTCTGAAATTTACGATATTTAATAATCTTCAAATAGCTTTTGAAGGCAATTATACTAAATTTGGTTAACAGAGAAGGAACTAAGTAATAGTTGAAATTGGGAACGAAGTGAATTTCTACGGTGAAGACCAAGTACATTTAATGAGGTTATTTGGACAAGCATGATTTCATCCCTAATATGCCTAAATATGCTATTGTATATATTAGTTGTTAGTGTAGTTCTATAACCCAGTTCTAAGGGGAAAAATCGTACATTAACATGGGGTTAAGAGAAAAAGATCATGGAATGAATTGTTTTGCATTGCTATAAAACATTTCTGAGTTTTCGACATTTCTCCTAAATTAGATGAGGACAGCAAAGCAGTTAAAAGACCAGATGAAGGGAGAAACCGGGAAGACACAAAAGCACTCTAAAAGTGAGATGGGAATAGAAGTGAGATACTGAGTTGGGGCAGTTAAAGACTTCTGGCGAACCTAAAAGCAACGTGGGGAAAAAAGCAAACAAAACAAAACAAAAAGCCTTTAAAGATGGAGATGGATGTAGCCAGGGGAAGTGAGCTAAAATGACATTGAGAATTGCTTTCCCTAAAATGACAAAAATAGACACATTGCCCAGGATGTTTTTCCTCCCCCACCCATCAACATGCATTACCAGGGAAGGATGTGCACGCCTCTTTGCTCAGAGAGCTGCCACCCAAAAAGTGCCGTTGGCTTCTTTGTAACTACTTGTAAGAAATAAAGTCCTTGCCTGGAGAAACTAGATGTGGAGATAGTCCAGCCTCCCACCTGTTTTCTCACTGGAGTCTGATCTTGCTGCTCCTCGTCTCACCCACGCAGGCACCAAGCACCTCTCAGGGCACTACATTCAACTCACTGGGTGGGACAGTCACCTGCGGGCGGGAGACTGTCACCGCTTTTTCATTCCTCCTTTCCTTTTTAGCAGCCGCCGAGACTAACTTCCTGTAACAAGGAAACCCTGATCTCCACCCGAATTTGCCGGACGCGTTCGGCCGCGCTCCCTACGCCGCACCTCTAGAGCTCAGGTGTCTGGACTTGGAGAACCTCTTGCCCACGGGCTCTTTATTGTCCTCCCATCTCTTCGCAGCTCAGCACCATCTACCCCTCATCTTCTCCTAAAACTAGGGGATTCCAGATTTTCTAAGGCCTTAGTTTTCCAGCCCGCTGCTACCGGGGCGGGCGAGGAAATCGCTTCCGGGTTCACATCCCGGGTAGCCTCGCGGTTGGCTGCAAAAGAGCTTCCGGGTCAGCAGCAGCGCTGCTGCCGTTTCTGCTACTGCTCGCTGGGGCTACGGGCTGTCTGGGGCTGGCGGCGGGTGACTCGGGGACTGAGGTGTTGGCGAGGGCGCGCGGCTGAGCAGGAGGCGGGGTAGGGGAGGAGCGGACAGGGGCTGTGCGTGCGCGCACACGAGGCTAGAGCATGAGCTGGACTTGACGGCGAGGCAGAGGCAAGAGCCACCGCCCCCTCTTCCCCTCCCCCGAGTGGGGCTGCGCAGCGGGCAGGAGAGGGATGGGGGGCGCCTGCTGACTCTGACCTCGCTGCGGGCGCTTCTGGCTCACGCAGCGTGCCCACGGGTCTCCAGTGCTCACCCTCGGCCCTAAAAGCCTACGCCCGGCGGGCGCACCCGGGCCGGCGAGTAGGGGGCGCCCGCCCGGGTGGGTGGGGCGGAGGGGAGTGTGTGTACCTGAGGTCACCAGCTCTTCCGGAGAGGCAGGGGCGGCCACGGCGGTGCCAGAACTGCAGAGCTGCGGGGTCCCTCCGACCCTTTACCCTCAGCCTGGGAAGTAACCGTAAGTCTCAGCTTCTTGGTACCGGTCTGTGTGAGGTGATTTCAACCCATTTCGGGCTGCCTAATTTACGCCCTCCGCGGTCTCATACAAATTTGCGTGCCTGCTCTTGTGGAGGATTGTCTGTCTCTCTGTCCCCATTCCTGAACAGGCACTGTCCTCTGTCTTCCCCAATGGGGCTTTTCTCCCAGTGAAATTGCAAGTCTCTGAGTCTCTGTGGCGCGTCCCATCCTCCCCATTCTGGATGCATCTCCTTGTCACTGTCCTTAAAGAATCTATACCCTCCCTCTTCCGGTACCCCAGACCTCACTGCCTCCCCCGCCCATCCCTTGAGATGTGGAAAGCCACGGGATCTCGGGATCTCGAGGGCTAGAGAGTCTTGAGCCGATGGATGAAAGTGCTCTGCAGGGCAGTGATGGGTGGGGTAGGTGTAGATGGCTCTTATGAACCTTTATTTTTGCATCTTCTGCCACCAAAACAAAAGAATGGGCCTCTCCGTTGGACCTTCATTCCTGCCCTTCGTAACTGTGTATAAGCTATTTTCTATACGTTACTCTTTGAGTCGCAGGAAATTGGGACTAGAACTGTAATTAAGCATCTCCTGAGGACGCTTTGAAAATTAGTCCCACAAACTCTATTCACCCGGAATGGCATATTGAAAAATCTTGTATTGAAATGAAGACCTATTCCGTAAGAGGTTTAGTAGTGAAAGCAAAAGTCTTATGTTTCAAATGTGGTTTGGATTTACATTTAGTTCTTAATTTACAAAGTGTATAATGTGAAAAATCTTTGTATTGTAAGGTTTTGTTTTGTTAGTGATTAAAAAAACAAATGATTTTTAAAGATTGTATGAGATTATATTTGGTAAGGTATTATTTGAAATCCTTAATTCCAGAGAGACTTTTTTTTAAAACTCGTTTGGATCATCACGTACAGATGTTGCACACCTTGGTTTCTATGTTTGACCTTCCTACTTCTTAGTTAAAAAAAAAAAAAATTAACTGTATTTGCAGATTTTGGACTAGGCAGTTTTTCTCATTAAAATTTGGTTTGCTTTTTAAACTGCCACTACAGAAAGTAGATTTAAAAATAATTTTAATGTTGTCAGTGACTGGACAATAGCTCTTACAGGCCTTTGTGCATTTGATTACTTTTCAATGCACTATAAGAAGCATTGAATAATTTAAGAATTGATCATTGATATTCTTAAATTGATAATTTAAGCATAATTTTACTCTGTGTCCCAGGTTCTTTGTTATTACTCTGTACACTGTTCTGTAGTGTCAACTGTTACCATTGGATTTTTTTTTCCTGAAAACATTTGTCATTTTGTTAAAGGTAGATGTGTTAAAGGATTTTTTGTTTATTTTCAAAACCTCCTTCAAGCAGTTGATTTGGGACTGTTATTTGATTTGTAACTTGTTACTGTTCACGGATTCTAGTTTGAAGTAGGCTCAGGAGATGTAGCTCCAGCTGTCTCTCTGGAAATTACCTGGTTGACTAGTGTCAGAAGCCAAACGCTCTATAGAGTTGAGTGTATTATTAGTGAGGTGATGGGCAAAAACTTGAAAAGGTTTTTCTAAAAAATTCTACTGATCCCTGTTATTCTTGGAGGTAGGGTATGGAAGATAGGACTGTATTTTCATATTGCACTTCTGTTGAACTGTGAATTTGGAGTCTTTGTTACAAGGGACCCCTGAAAACAGACTGTGCTTAAGTGTGAGCTCTAACAGGTGACTGCTGAGACATGGAAGCTTTGTTAGATACTCTTTTGTATTTCTATACTACTGCCCAATTTTGAGAGAGATCATTTTCTTTTTTTCCTCTTCTCTGGGGTGTGCACTTGAACTTCTGAAAGGGAAATACGTGCGTTTACAACTTGTAAGTGTAAACTAATTTTCATGTATAAATAAATTAAGAAATATAAATTAAATTTATCTGATTCTCCTTGAATGGAAGTTAGATTCCTCAATGCTTTTGGTACATTCTCCACCTTTGAGGGTGCACACAACAGTTTTTTAAAACAAAATTTTAAAATACTTCTCTCTAACATTTAGACTTATATGTGACACATTTGCCAAAACAGATTTGAGAGTGGCACAGTCATTAAAAAGACCACTCTGAGGTGAGTTTTTATTGCATCATTCTATAAATGCTTAGGAATTATGTTTTCTTTCTCAAAGTGACTTGCTTGGAGCATAGTAATTTTTGGACTCAGTTTATTTTTCAGACAACCTTAGACTACCTCGTTTTGTTTCTTTTCTAGATAACTTATTTTCTTATTTCATTTCAATGAACATTTATTGACTACCTACTATGCGTGCCAGGCACTATATTAGATTCTGGGACTACAAGGATAAATAAGTTAAGATTGCTTTCCTCGTTGAATTTGCTAAGTCACGATATTTAACTGTTATTCTGTCCATCTGCCTCTACAGATTTCTCTAATACATTCTAAAGTCACTTGACTGTTTTTCAGGGTTTCACACCCTTTCTATAAGAATAAGCACTATAAATGCTATTTATTGAGTACTTAATTCTTGCTAGCCACCATGCTAAGTGCTTTATATACATTATTACATTTAATTCTTTTTTCAGTTTATATTTTATTGTATTTTTTCTATTACCATTTATCCCCTTATACCTTCCTCTACCTCCACCCACTCCCCAGCTCCTCTGCAATCACACTGTTGTTCATATGTCCATGAGTTCTTTTTCGCTTTTGCTTGATCCCTCCACTCCCAGAGCTCATTGAATTCTTAGAACAGTACTAAGAAGTATTTGTTTATTTAAAAAGCATACAAATTCTGATTTATACTAATGCTGAATGTTGTTTTATATCTAATGTGCTAGAAAAGACTTGAACTTACTATTTGTCCTTAAGGGGAAGGAGTTGTAATATAGTTAAACAACAGTTTTAAATTCTCTAATAATACTTTAAATTGAAGGATTCTAATTTCATAAGGTATTAGTACCTTTTGTTTTCTAAAGCAGATGAGTTGTTATCAAAAGGTAATTGTCAGTTGTTTAAAACTGTTGAAAAGACACTTCCGAAGTTTATTATGGTTAACTGTAACAGGTCTTCAGGCATATGTAACTTTTTTTACTAGTTCAACAATGGGACCCATGGCCTGTAATGTATTAAAAAATGTGTGTATTCTCCAGGAAGGACAGAGCGTTGAGACATGAAATCTCTTCAGCTTTAAACCATTTTTTAGCTTAATTTTGACAACTATTTAAATGCCTTGGAGAGTTTTTGTTTCTGTAATGACAATATATTCCTTCAGATTTAAATCTGATCTTACTCATCTATTAATAGGATACATGCTTTATCAGGAATTTGATATGTTTCAATCTAATCATTTTCAGACCCTCTCACATTTATTAAAAGATGTTCTTCCACTGTTAACTCTAACCAAAAGTCTTCTGTATTATAAAATTTTTATTTTATTATTATTATTTTTTACCCCAAACTGTCAACAATTTGCCATTTTTTAGGCTAAGACCTTTTGTTACTGATCACATACTTTCTGTTTTTAGGACTATAAGGCAGATAATTATTCCTCATCTTAGGTTCCTAACAATGGTCATCTTTGATATTTTTTATGCTGAGTCTGACATACATATTTTAACATGACATTGACAGTTTCTATTTTCCATTGTTACAGGATCCTTGATAATCAGGTCATTGTATTTTTCTGATTGGAACAATATTGGGTGTAGAATCCCTGTTCAAGGACAGAACAATGACTAAACTATAAATATGTTAGATGCTGGGACCACAAAGATGAATGAGTCAAGATTCCATTCCTCATTGAACTGTAAAATGCCTGTTTAAAGTCCATGAAGACAAAGGAAGGTTCATTTGAGAACATAGAAATACTCTTTTCTAATTATGCATAAAAACATTGTCCTTGTTAATGTGTCCCCTCAGAGTATTGTAAAGGAAGGAAGGTAAATAAATAAAGGCACGGTTTTCATGCTATGTTGCGGCCTCAGACAGTAGCTGATTATCATTTGTTCTAGCATTAGCTAATCTATATTACATATTTATTTCATATTTTAAAATTATTTTTAAATAATTTCAAACTTACAGAAAAGATTCCAGAACAGTACAAAGTACCCTTTCACTCACATTCCACCAGTGTTAATTTTTTACTGCATTTCTCCCGTCACCTGCCCTCTCTTTCTGTCTCCATACACGTATCACACACTTGTTATCATAGTGTTTTTCTGAACCTTTTAGAGCAAGCTGCAGATACGTGCAATCACCCATAAACCCTGCAGTGTCTATATCTCAGAAACAAGGTACTTGCTGACATACCGAGCCTATAGCTCTCCAAATCAGAAAATGAGCATTGGTCCAACATTGTTGTCTGGTCCAAAGAGCCTATTCATGTTTCATCAACTATCCCAACCATACCTCTTTTCTGATACAGGATCCTATCTAGGCATTGGTGTTGTATTTATTGTAATGTCTCTTCAGACTTCTTCAGCTGTTTTTTTCTTTTGACAGTTTTAGAAGGTACAGGCCCTACGTTTTATAGAATGACCCTCAGCCTAGGTCCATGTGATACTTCCTCATGACTCCAATCAGGTCATGCATTCCTGGTAGGAATACCACAGCAATGGGACTGTGCCCTTCTCAGTGCAGAGGCATGTGCAGTGTCAAACCACACCACTGTAACACTGTGTTTGTATTGGTGTGCTTTTATATTTGATCAGTATTTGTGGAGAGGTGTTCCAACATTATGCCAGCATCCTGTTTCTCTCACTAGCCTTAGTGTGGGTGTCATTGATGATTCCTACTCTACTTAACCACTTTTATGATAATTGCCAAATAATATTTCCCTATTTGTTTTATTCTTTTACATGCATTGGCATTTTTGTGTATGTAAGGTAGACCTTTCTCCTCCATTTATTTATTCATTTATTAAGTCAGTAAAGATTCACGGTTTTCCATTCTATTTAGTGTGTTCTGATTAATTACTGTTATTATTTAT